TTATAAACTTTCTCTTACTATTCTGACATTCTCAAAGATATTGAAAAATCTCTTCTAATGAATGCATAATATAAAGCAAAGAATAGTTTGTCTTGTTGTCATCATATAAGTGTGATACAAGTTTTTTTTTAAAGATCCTGAAAAATATAATGTGCAAGTCTAGTGATTTGATGTTCCAGTGCTCTTTATGTTTTATCCGTAACTTCTTTAATCTGAATATTTTCATTTTATGCAGGTGAATATTGAATTAATTTTTGAATTCTTCTTAAGCTATTACAATAGTCCAAGGAAGATCAGTTGACAACAATTGATGGAAGGTAGAAACTCTATTCTCAAGCGTCATCTTTACATTTAGATTTGATACGAAGTAATCACATCGACTAAACCGGTTCTCTCAAACTGGACTGTGACAGTTATATTAACAATAGGCTTTTACGAATAGTTGAATGTTGCTCACATTCTTTCATGGAATTGAAACAAGAATTAGATTTCATAGTATTTGAAGTACATTCTTTTGGTTAACATGAGATAAAGCTACACTTAAATGATCATAGTTCAGCGCTAAAAGTCTAAACAAGAAAGCAATTTTAGGGCTCTTTTAGTTTTCTGGAGTCTTATATACGAACAAAAACTTTGCTGAAAAACTATTGAATACATCGAGATGTTTCCTTGTCAGTTTATGACGAGTATTCTTAATTTTCAGTAGAAAATTGATCGAGAATTGATTAATACTTTCGACCCTGTCTTCCACTTTTGAATAAAGAAAATAGCTAGCCACTTTCAAGATACGAATGAAGTCTATTGTAAGCAAGAAATGTAAACTAGAAAACAGATGGCGTGTATCACAGATTCTAGCAGGATCCAACCGTACCAGAAAACTTTCTGGCGAGCTTCCTGCAGGATTCATTCTACTTACCGTAGGATCCGCTAAATTTTCCGCAGAAATCCGGTAGAGAAAACTATGAACTTGAAAGCAGTATCACTGACAGTAAAGTCACAATACCGAAAACAATAATTCAACCGCACCACAGCAACACTATATACATACAGGGATGGATCAGGATCCCGCAGAAAAGTCTCTAAAAACTGCGGGAAACTCTGCGGAACGATGATAAGATCCGTTGAAAACTACTTATACTCTCAAATCAAGTATTTTAATCACGAAAATAATCTTACGGCAGTGACAAAGTTTTTTAAAAGTACGTCACATCGCGGCAACGGCAGATTCTCAACCACGATGAATATCTATGGTAAGAATGTTGAATGTAACATTTTATAAAAATCATAATTAACTTTAAATTGTATGTCAAACAAATCTCATCGACATCATAACTATTTCATATCATTTTTGCCGAAGTATGAAAAAACTGGAACATTTCAATGCACACCCTAATTCTATAATTAACTTATATTATATAATATTCTTAATAATGAAATAAAATAAATTCTACTGTTCCTAAATTTCAAAAAAAAAAAACAAAATTCAAAGTTCTTGAGAAAATATTTTTGATAGTTCATTATTATTTTGACTAACATCAAGACAATCAAGAACAGAATAACCAGTTGCAACACCACCTTCATTTGTATCAGTTGTTTTTGTTCGAACTAAATATCCTATTACATCATTTATATATTCTTCATTTGTATCAACATTTGTAACCATTGTTCCATAAATTCCTATTTCATTAATACATTCAACATGTAATAAATGTTTACCATTTGGTTTAATAAGACATGTTGTACATTTTGGTGGTAAAATTTTTTCCATAGCTATATAAGAATTTAAATGATTTTCTTTATTTTCAATTAATTTTAATATTTCATCATCATATTTATTATTTCCACCACCTTCACGATTTGGTTTAAGAACATAACCATTTGGATTTTGACGTAATAAATTAATATATTTTTCTCGTGTTTGATTATTATCAAATGCAAACATTGATGCAAATGTTGAACGTATATTTTTTGATAAATTTTTATTATTTATATATTTTTCAATAATATTTTCATTTGTTAAATATGCTTGAACAATTTTACAACCTGCTAATTGTGATCGAATTGTTGGACATTTAATAGCACGTGATTGTTCAATATATTCACGTATTAACCAACATTTTTCATTAATATAATGATCTGGTATATAACCAGCACGATAATAAACAATAGCTATTTCATCATAAGATGATTTTAAATAAATATTAAATGTTTTTTCATCATATAAAAGTTCATTTGTTAATTGTTCAAATGTTTTTAAATGAAAATGAATATTTGGTTTTAATTTTTGTATTTCATCAATTAATGCATTTTGATCACATACATTACGTTCATTTGGTACAATAATAAATAATATACAAGCATTTTCATTATTATAAAGTTCAAATGCTTTAATCATTGCTTCAGCAGATTTTTTTAATGCTTCATTTGGAAGTATTAAATCAATTGTTGATGATTTTTCATATTTTTCATCTAATTTTAATTCACGAACATGACAATTTTCAATACCATAATGTAAAATAGCTTTATGTAAATCAGCAACAATACCAGTTAAACCAGCAAATGCAGAACTAATAGTATTAAATTCAATTTGACGCATTTTATCAACTTTTGTATCGAGCATATAATCATCTATGAAATCAAGATAAAAAAAAAAAGAAACCAGTGCTTCAAACCATGGTAGTTAAATATTTTTGTAATAAAATTTTCATAGAGTAGAAAATCAGCTAACTTTACTGTAATGTTCCTGAGAAGAAAAAACTTCTTTTTACTACAGTGATTTTATGAACAACTATAGTAGTTAAATGAGTTATTCATCCTGAATAGTACAAAGTTTCTATGATGGTTTTTTTTAATAAACTCTTTGAAAATTCTTTTTTTTTTTTCTAATTCAGCCTGAAAAACTAAATATTACTTTTTTTAGGTTTAAAATAAATAACATTAAAAAAATTACGATCGATATATATATATAGGCTTATAGCTTGTGGTTATAGATACTTTTGTAAATCTATTTAGTGTTTTTGTGATAGAAGATAAAAATAAATGTCTTATCTCATTTGAATCAGGTGGTTTCGAACTACAAATAGTTCCCATTTAGGATTATTGAGAAAATCAAAGGTCTACTCGTTTTAGTAGTAAAAGAACTAAAATTGATCTTTTTTATTGCAGTTTTTATTATCAAAACTCAGTTCTAAAATAAAATAAACAGCATATTCTAAATCTCTGTGAAAATCTACATCGACTCACATATATTTTAGCAAAATCATTAGTCCATGGAAAACGCAATTGTATTCTTCCACAGAATTTTTTCTATGAAATTTTGCCTGTGGTCTCCCTGCAATTGGTTTTCCATTTAATATAGAATCAATTGCAATGTATGTAGACTTTCATACTGATTGTGAGTGTACTGTTTATTTTGTTTTTCAACTGAATTTTGATAATAGAAATTGAAATAAACAAAGACCATCTTTGATCCTTTTACGACTAAAATGAGCAGACCGCCGATTTTCTCAAGAATAAAACAAAACTGGAAAAAACTAAATGAAAAACTTTTGCAACTCGATTTACAAAAGTTCTTATAAACAAAATCTATAAACCTATATATATATATTGATAGCGGTTATTTACGTTACTGAAATTAAAAAAAACCGTATATTTATAATCAACTTTTTCAACACTAACAAACTATATATAAATCAATAGAAAATTAAATTCATTCTAATTCTGTATAATGTACATCCTACAATGTTAATCAATGTATATTCTCTATTAATACAGAAGAATTTTAAATTACAAACCGATGGCAATTAATATTTTCCAATTAAATTAAAGTCAATAGTAAAAGTTGAATAACACATAAAACATCAGGATAGAAATCTTATTTTAATAATCAAGTTCGACTATCTCTTCATGATAATAAACTAATTGCTTACTTCGATAAATATCTAATTGAATAGATTGTCGTCTTTTACAATTACGATGAAGTTTCCAAAGTCGTTCAACAAAATCATCAAGTGGGATAACTGGTGATAACGCTTTTTCAAGAATTTCATCATCAAGAGATATACGATTATAAAGACGATTATAAGCTGTTTGAATTGACCAAATAAATTTAAAATGTGAATAAGAATATGGACTTGGATATAGAGAAAATGGAACAATAGTTGCTTGATCTAAATTATCAGGAATAAGACAAAGAAGACCATGAGTAATAGCATAACGTTTTGCAAAAGCTACTATATCTTCAATAGGCCATCGTAAACGCATTGATCCATTTTCTTCTTTTTTTATTGACATTTTTTCTATAAAAATCCAATTAAATTGATTTTCTGCTTGGTCATTGATTACTAAGCATCATATGAATGCATTATTTGCTTTATATGAATGGTTTAAAAAATAAACCATTAAGTGATGAATTCGATTTTTAAACGAGTTATTAGTTTTAACTTACTAATATGTAATAGAAATTTAGTAAAGATTCATAATTATCAAATTTATTTGGAGAAAAAAAAATAAATCTCGTTCGATAGATGGCGATCAAATCCATTGATCAATTTTCTCTTGCAGTTAATCCTTTGCGAATCCAAAAACTTCAAATCTGATAGTCATTCGAAAAAATCTTATGATAATCAGGTTATTATTGACTCTTAATCTTGAGATATAATCCATCGAGTTAGTTCCGGAGTATATCCAATGGACTCTCTTATAAGATCAAAATAGAAAATAGAATGAAATTCTAAACTAAAACATTTTTTGGAATATCTATTAACTCTTTAAAGTTTCATCAATGCACATGATTTAGAAAAACGACAATGTATTGATTTTGTATTTACAGTAGAGAACTGCGGGTCCTGGCCCAACCTTTTATTTTTTTATTGGATCCGGTTACACGTTTTTGTGGAACCGCTGCTCCCCAGATGAGAAATCCATCAACAAGATATAATTGTACGTTGAGAATAGCAAATAAATAGTTGAAACCTTGATCGTTCACTTGTTTATGTACATGAAGGATATCAGGTATTGATGAAAAAAAGTTCGGATCCACAAAAACGTGGACGCGCAACTCCCTAATTGACAGATCAGATCGATTCATCAATGCTAAGTAGAGGTATAAGCCGAAGGGTCAAACAGCGGCGGCTTTGACAACGAAAAAAAGAAAACGTTTTTACTCCTCAAAGACAAGAAAATGGCTGATCGCATATATATCGATGTCAACGGTGGCGGCGCAACGGCTGAACTAACTTTTTCACAGCGGTGACGGCTAAAATATTCGTAAAACTATCTACGATTTACTGGCAACGACGGTGGCGCAGCTGGATGGGTTACACCTCTAATGCTGAGTGCTTATCAGGCAGTTACAGGAAAAAAAAACTTGCCAATAACAATAGTATATTCCTTACTTTTGACCCGGAATAATTGTATTATGCTGTTTAATTCAAAAATTTTAATCGGTTTTAATTTAGTTCTCTAGAGAGAAGAGACAGTAGTCAATGGTAATCTTTCACTCTTTTTTTTTGATAGAATATATATGTTTTATGTATTAAAATTTCTTTAAGCATATTTTAGATGATCAAACGATTTCATAACATTAGGGGAAATTTCATAATAAGTTTAGTATCACGAGAACAATTCATTGTTTAAGTTTTGAAAACGATTCTAGTGACATCTGTTTCGATATATCAGAAAAGATATTAAAATTTTTTGAATATATATTATTGAAAATCCTTGTTTTTTTTATATGATCAAAATTATATATGAATATATTATGTTTTATACCAAACCATTGTTTGCAATCAGTACCGCCAACAATTTCTTTGTTGTAAATTTGTTAATCTATTCATTTCTTTTTTTTTTATTTATCGAGAAGAAAACTACAATATATCTATGTCTGATAAAACACCAAATGACGAACGGCATGATGTAATATAAATAAATAATATTAATTTTATATTCATCAAAATATAATTTAGATTTATGCTGATATTGAAACTGTTAAAGTTTCATTTGATGTAGCTCAATGTGATGGTGATTCAATGTATACTTATTTACCAAATTGGATAAATAGTCTTACTGATGAACAATTACGAGCTCCACCAATGTCAGCTAATTTATTTCAACAATATATTCATCATTCTCATCTTGAAGCTTCAATGGCTAATAGTGTTCGAAAAATGGCTTTAAAGTAATATTTTGATGGAAAAAATTATTTTAGGACATCTCAAAAGCAGCTTTTTAAGGCGTATCAAATCATGTATAGTAAATCTTATTTTCATAGGACTTAGAATCAATTTACTGATAGACGACTGCACAGTTCCAAGTTTACTATTAACATATTATATCTGAAACAACCAAACGAGCTTTTCACAAAGGTTAAAGTAGCTTCATTGTGTTTAATATTTTAATTCTGTATGGATTTTGCTATACACTTTACCTATAACTTCAAAATAAAAAAAATTCTATATTGAACCGAATCGGTCGTTTACAATAAGTTTAAAAATGATGAATTACTTAGGAGATGATTTCTTTTCGAAGTAGAATCTAATTGACATATGATTTTTCTATTTTAGTGAAGATCGTCTATTTACAATTGATGATTTTGAATTTGGTCGACCACTTGGTAAAGGTGCATTTGGTATTGTATATTTAGCACGACTTAAAAAAACGAAATTTATTTGTGCATTAAAAGTAAAATTTTGTTTTTTGTTTTCTATTATTTAATAAAAAAAAAAAAGAAAAAATTTAGATGCTTCATAAAAGTAAAATAAATGAATATTCAATGGCTGAACAAGTTAAAATTGAAACGGAATCTGGTTTTAAACTTAATCATCCACTTATATTAACAATGTATGATGTATTTCATGATGAAAAACGTTTTTATTTTATGCTTGAATATGCACCACATGGACAACTTTATAGATTTTTACAAAAAGTTCGTCGTTTTAGTGATCGTCTAGCAGCTAGTGTAAAATATTTATAATTTTTTTTTATTTTATTATTATTCAATATTTTTTTTTCTAGTACATCTATCAAATTTGTCATGCACTTGAATATTGTCATAGTAAAAGTATTATACATCGTGATTTAAAACCTGAAAATAGTAAATAAATCATAAAGCTAAAAACAAAATATATCAAATTGTTTATTTTTAGTTCTTGTTGATTGTTGTGGAAATTTAAAATTAGCTGATTTTGGTTGGTCAACAAAAATTCGTCATGCTGATACAATGTAATTTAAATTTTAGTATATAAAACAAAAAAGATTCTTTTTTTTGTTTTTGAAATTTCATAGGAATACAACAGCTTGTGGTACACTTGATTATTTAGCACCGGAAATTGTTGGACATAAACAATATCAATATCAAGTTGATAATTGGTGTGTTGGTGTTCTTGGCTATGAACTTTTAGCTGGTCGTGCACCATTTGAAGGTACTGATGATGAAACAAAATCAAAAATTGCTAATATTAATTATAAATTTCCGGATTATTTTTCACAACCTGCTCGAAAATTTATTGATAATGTAAGAAAAATTTTCAAAGAATAATCAATCTGTAAAATATTTTATCTTTATAGCTTTTACAAAAAGATCCAAAAAAACGTATGTCACTTGTCGATTGTATTGCTCATCCATGGTTACAAAAAAATGCATATAAATATATGTTTGGTCCTTATAAATGTCCGATTTATGTTAACATGGATGAATAATATTTTCTTCTTATCTCTCTCAGTGAAATAACTTTAATAAAAATAAATTGATAAATTGAATAGTAGAAAAAAAAAACAAATTAAAATGTCGACATTTTAAAATATTTTTATAAACAACTAATTTATATATAAAGAAAAAAGCATAAAAGTAGAAAATCATATTGTTTTACTAAATGAATTCATTTTTATCTACAGATGATGAAATATATATATATATATATATATATGACAAAGTAACTGAATACATGGAGAGGAAAATGCACTGTCAAAAAGTTGGATATGTATTATTGTGATGGAAAAAGCATTCATGTATGTATCCACAATTATGACACCAAGACTACATTCTATTCGAGCGCATCATCAGTAACAAATAAATGTATACTTAATAAAATTGATTGGCTTTTAGAAATAGAAAGACTCATGCAGGACACTACTCTATAATTCTTTAATCTCAAATTCAGATTAAAATTTTGATGCTTTTTTTTTCCTCTTTATGTAAGAAAAAATAAAAAGACAATAACTATTAACCAATCGAAGTGATGAATCATTTTATGATGACATATATATAGTAGTTAGTGGTCACTAACGGATGATGTTGAGCATGACGACTATTAGATGAGATGATTAGAAAGAAATGCTGAGACAGCTTATTAACGATAATCCTTTGTTAAAGAAGTCTACACATTACATTAAGCCCCCTCCCCCTCAAAAATTGATCTCAGCCCAGGAACATTCAAAAAGGCTAATATTTGGAGGATATGTTGGGTCTATGATAGGATGCATGTGATAAAAGTTTCAGCCTTCTATCATGACCTATAATGGAGATACGGACCGAATAAGGGTCAAAAAATAGCTTATCGCGTCTCCAAAAATTCTCAGTCGCTCTTCAATATATATACTTGATTTTTTTTTTTGTTCTTCAAGAACATGTCCGGATGCAGCGCCTATGAGGGCTCTTTTTTTTTAATCTTATCCTTTAAGGAGAAAAGGATCCTGACAAGTTCGGTTACTAAAAAAACTTCTCAAAAAATGACGCTCTAATTAAGAAGGCGCTTTTCAATATAATAAAAGCAAAGCCTATTTCAAAAAAAGAGCTCTCCTAGGTACTGCAGTTTTTGATGCTCTTTCAAACAAAAAAAAACAAATATTCGATTTTATATCGTATTGTAGTTGACTTTCGCTGGAGATACGTCATTCGACCACCATTTTGAGAAAAAAACGAAAAAGATTTTTGGGTTTTTCGGAAAAAAGGAGGTATCGAAGAAAAGTTTTTATTGTTTACGAAAGAGCAAATGACAGGCTATCTCCCCATGTATTTATCTCAATCTTGGCCATTCTGACGAAAACTAACTTTTTTTGAGGGGAGCAGTAAGAATGTAAAGAATTGTGCAGAAGTCGACAAAAGAAGATATCGATATCAATATGTTCGATGTCCATGTTCGTCCTTCCTACAAGTCAGAAATATAAAGATTTTAACGTATTTATATTGACAACATCTCGAATTTCTCATAGTCATCATTTCATTTGTTTTCAATAAAAGTTCTACAGATCCGTCAGTGTTTTTCTATTCGAATAAGACAAGTCTAATGTAGAAAAGATAACGGCAATATAATATAGGAAATAATTCAAAAATATTGAGAGAGATTGATTTTTTCTGCCACAGATATTTCAAACTTTTTTTTGTTTTTTTACAAAGCGAATTTTAATGCCATTCAAAATTTGTCTCAATACTAAAATATATCCTAAAAAAATACTCTTGATTTTTTTCCGAATTTTGAATTCTAAGTTTTATTCTTTAATGTTCATCCATAGATTTCGAAATTTAATTGGTCTACACACATGAGAAGACGTAATTTTTTTTGTTTTACACAGTTGATATTACTCTAGCAATAATATCCTTATATTAATAATATACAAAAATTATTTAAGATTATATCAATGAGATAAAAATACTTATACACTTGTGACATTCATCTGTTGCCTTGCGCGCATCACCTGCATACTATCTATAAAGATGTTAAAACATAACAGTTAACTGGCTATTGTCAGCATTATTTAATAGTCATCATTTTCAACATTATAGAAAGAAAGAAAAAACTTTTCCTACAATGCTTTTAAACAAGGCAAAATAATTATAGCGGCATATTAATGAAAGAATAAAAAAAAAAGAAAAGCTTTTAGCCTTTCATTCAATGATATCTATCATTCATTATGATTGAATTGAGGATAGAAAGAATTATATATGTACACACATAACTATTATCCTATCCAGATGTCTTGTTAACTTTACAATAGAATTGAACAAACAAGCATATATATATTCGATTAAGAATAGAACAGGTGGTGAAAAAACAATTAGATTTCTATTTTTCTTTTGGATATAAATATGTTATTATTGCATCATATTCTTTGATATGCATAATAGAATGTCTCTAAAATGCCATAAGTAGACCTATTGGTAAAAACGTAAGAATTTAACTATTTAGTCCTTGTACTTCTATATTTGACACAATGACACTTTTAGTATTCATTCATTCTGATGATAGAGTGAAAGAAAAATATTTCTTTTGTTTTTTTTTGGTACATACAAATGTTCAAATAGATTATCGCCAGGCGTCTCGTCTTATTTTTCAACTGACACATTCCTTTAGTTAAGCGACAATCACAAGATCGATGTTGTTTATAAAGAGTGAATGTGTGTTGTACGTGCGTGTATATAAAGATATTAATTCATTTATTCATTAGCTGAGACGGAAGTTTGAAGTGTATTATATATTATATATAAGTCGTCTTGTTTTTCTTGATGAACACCATTGCTTGTCATCAAAATCATTAGTTGGCAGAATATGAATAGATTTCCTTTTTTTATTTAACAGAAATTTCGAATATTTGGTTTCATAGTAAAAATATATCATTTACATCAATGAAATTGTCTTATGTCATAAATGAATTCGATTCACTTTTTTTTTTTTTTCTCAATTAGTTATAACCATGTAATATGACTTCTCTATCCCTCTCTCTCTCTCTCTCTCTGTACACAAGCAAAGAGAAGAAGATTAAGAAAGAAGGAGGGAGGAGCGAGTGTTTTTTTTTTCGGGAATAAGACGTATACGTGTTCTCTCCTTTTCTCCTCCTCTCTTCTTCAATTGTTCAACAGACGCACAACTTCACACACATATACATATATATATTCTCTTTTCAGTAGCGTAGCATATGTCAATTTGTTAATCAGTAAGTAAGACAAGAGGAAGAAAAAAAATCGACAACTTTTTTTTTTTTTTTTAAATTTTTTTTTTCTCATAGTCTCGACATAGTTATAATCAATATCTTTTATAAAAACTAGTGATATGCCTACTTGACATATTTCATGAGAGAATAATCATCATGACTATTCAATATCTTCTATTTATCATTACTATTACCGGTAAGTATATTCTTCTATATATATGTGTGTCTATGCCATTTTCATCGTTCATTAATATAGAAGTTAATGTAAACAAAAAGATACATTTTTTTTTTGTGTATTTCTTATGCATGCGTTTCTTGTTAAGTCAAGGTATGCATAGCTAATTTAATAACAATATTTGTATATTTAAAGAGAACAGCAATAGAAAATCATTCCATTGTTAGTTTGCCGAAGGACAAATCTATATCTAAAAGAATGTTAAGATAACAGAACAATATTATATATTAAGGTTATAATGATTAATTTTAAGGTATTGGTAGTAGTACATCAAATATTCGAAATATTAATGGAGAAATCGATTCAACTATTTCATTTCAATGTGAAATTGATCCATTACCTTTTAATGCTGTTGTATGTTATCTTGTCCTTCGTATTTTTTTTTTTTTTTTTGAAAATATTTTACCTTAGATAACTTGGGTTTATCGACCAAAAATACATAAAATTAATGGTATAAAATGGTTACCATTATATGCTAATGCACGTCGTTTAACACAAAATAATCAACGTTTTATTGTTGATTATAGTGGTTATAATGAACAGACAAAAAAATATTCATCTATATTAACAATTCATCAATTAAAATTATCCGATGAAGGAATTTATATGTGTAAATCAAATCAATATCAATCGATACCTTCTCTTTTTAATTTAACAATTTCTCGTAAGAAAATTTGATAAAAAAAAAAAAAAAATTGTTCTTTTGTTTTTTAAGCATCACTGAAAATTTTACCAAAGGATGGTATTATTGAATTAAATCATATTCAACAATCAATTAATTTATCATGTACAGTACGTGAATTATCAATGCATACAATTGATCCATTACGTATTAAATGGTATCATAATAATCATGAAATACCAAATACATATTTAATTGAAAATTTATCATTACATACAAATCAAGCTACATTAATTTTAGATGTTCATCATTTATCATTAAATAATTCAGGATTATTTAAATGTATTTATGATAATGGAAAAGCAAGTAAAGATGTTCAAATATTTTATACGTCTTCGGGTAAATAAAAAAAAAAAAAGATTTCTCTTATTTTATGGATAAGAGTACTTTACTTGTCTATGTCTACTTCTTGTTTAATATAAGAGGATTATGAGGAAAGTGACAACGTACCATATGTGTTTACATGGGATAATAAGTAGATGTATATGTGTGTGTGTGTTTTTTTTTATGTGAATAGAATAGTGACCATGATACTGATAAATGTCATTTATTCTAGTGGTTGGTTATTCAAAATCAATGGCAAGAAGAATAATGTTTTCATGGTTGTCGTTATTTTATTATTTTTATTATACAATGAATAATTATGATGATTGTATTTTTTTTAAATAATGTGTGTGTGTGTGTGTGTGTATGTCATACAGTGTTTTTTATCTTGTTCTGTTCATTGATTTAAATTACCAATGAAAATTACAGTAAAGATTTATTCTAAGCATTCTATCTCATGAGACAATATTAAGAGATCATTTGTTTTCTTTTTTTTTCTTTTGCATATTGATTTATTTCTCTATTAACTTCGATTGACCTTCGAGATTTATTATTCGATTATAATCGTATAAGAAAAAAAAATACATAAGAGTGAAATTGTTTATTACATCATCGTTTTCTTTTTTTTCTATTGCATTTGATCATTTCGAGATATAGACAACGAATGGATTAATAGTAACACTATCACTAGTAATTGATATATTCTTCGAATGAATTTATTATATTTGCACAAATATAGGATTTGCCATGCTTATTCATTATAATTCAAATTCAATTTTTTTTTACAAAAAAAAAAAAAAAAAAAAAAAGAAAAAGAATGCTGAATATTACAAATCAAAACTTTGTTCATTATTACAATAGGATCTTGAACGAACACGTTGACGTAATACATTAATATCACATAGAAAATATGATGGTACTTTTGAACATATAAGTTGATTTGATATAACAGTAAGAAATTGAATTTTATTCCATGATAATAATGATTCTATTTTTGTTTCATATAATATAACAAAAGTACCTTGTTTTATTGAAAATTGACAACCACATTTACATTGATAATCATTAAGTACAAGAAGTAATCGATGATAATGACATAATTTAGTAAAAAATTTTTTTCGAAATAATGAAGATAAAGAATATGAAGTTGATGATAAATAATTATAAAATAAATGACAACATTTTATTTTAGATCGAATTGAAAATAGAATTTCATTATTATTATTATCAAGAGAACATATAATTGATGATCGACAACGAGGTGCAACTGAAGGTAAATCATCAATATTAAGAATTGTTTGAGAACCATATATTGATGAATTACTTAATGATATTGAAGAAAGTGAAATAGATGATTGCATGATAATCATCAATCAATTTGATTCAATATTTTCAATTACAATAGATTATTAATATATTCTTACAGTTCTATATTTTATTAGAAATATCAAGTTGAATGAATCGGATAAATATATGTCGTCTATATTTATATAGGAAGTATGACTAGTGTGTTAATGAACACTAAACGACTTATATCTTTTGAATCCAATTAATCATCTTTTTTTTTTTTTTGTCGCTTGTAAACTCACGCATATTGACCTAAATGAACGAATCAACACATTTGAGAGCTGATCAAGAAAATGTCGATGTTAAACGGAAGAATTTCTAACATGTCAGTGATGTGATACATTTGTTTACGTGACATAAATTAAAGGTGAAAATATGCTGCATGAAATTATGTGTAATTGTTAAGCAACTTATCAATTAATATTTTAATCTTTTGATTGTTTTTTCACAAAAGTAAATTAAACATTTCTATAAAAACAGCGTCATTTTTTTTTTAGGAGTTTTTTGAGTTATTAAACTTGTCATTCTTTTTCTTCGCTTAAAAAGTAAGAGTTTAAAAAAGGAGGGGCTTGTCTTAGACACAAGTTTTCAAACAAAAAAAAATTTAATGTATAACATGAAGGCTCACCGATCGAACTATTTTTGACTCTTGTTTAGTGAATATCTCTGTCAAACGTCATGATATAGGGCTGAACATTTTCTCACACTAACCCCAATATATCCTGAAAATTTCATGCAATTTGAATGTTCCTAAGCTGAGATCGATTTTGAACGGAGATGATCTTAAGATGATAGCCTGTAATGTAGTTCTTTGATGTTTGAAGTCAATAAATTTAAATTTCTAGCTTTTCAATTATTCTCACATGTATTTCCTACCAATACAGTCAAAACTGTTTAAATTAGTATTTCAATTGATCTAAAGAATTTCTCCGATAAACCCATAAAAACTTTTTTTCGTACTGTTTCGTTTATAAACACATGATACAGTTTGAAAGAACAAAAAAAATTCCTATCAACTGAAAGAAAAAAACCTATCATTCTACCGCGTATGTAAAGAAGAAATATAATAATCGACATTTTATGCCATTACTTTTGCATCGTTTAAAAAATTAACATAAATATATAGAAAAAAAAACTACAAAGTATAATATTCAATTGATAACATTCAAACATAAGTTATATGAATGAAATATGTACAAGTGCTATAAAATTCTGTATTAAATAGAGAAGCCTTTTAATATTATTTTTTTTTGGTAACTGCTTATTTGATCTTATAAGCTGTAAGGTCATATTCGCTTTTAAAATGATGACACAATTTAACAAAACTCACGAGAAAAAAAAACTAATTAAGTTAAATTGAAGTCCTTTTAAACTTGATTTAGTAAACAGTAATATATAACATATTCCATTTTAGATCAATCTTTTGTGCCTAGCTTAATATGAACATAAAAAAGAAATGAAAATAATAACAAAAATCTATGTAAAAACAAAAAATCAACGATGGTAAAAGAGATCTTTTAAATTGTTATGATGTTTTCATACGAAGATTCATTGTTAATTTAGTATTTTCCTATTTGATAACAGATATTAAATTGACCTTCGGGATTATTACTTTTACTATAAATGAACGATATGGATTAATATATTCAGTAGCAACCTGAAAATTCACTTGTTATCCTCAACTTCATTGAGATTAGATGCTTCTTGTTGACCATGAATTTGTAATTGACGAAAGAGAATGATTTTTGTTTGAATCTAAAAAAAATTAAATAAACGGTCATTGTCTTAATTATGCATAGATCACGTGATAAACTCCTGTGAGAATAATGATGTGATCGGAGTAGGAAACGACACGATGGGACCACCTTTTTATTGTAGTCTTAGTTAAAATTTTTTTATTGCTTCTGATTCTGATTTCGTTTTTAGCAAAAACTTCTTTTTTTTTTAAAATAATCTGTATGATATTTTGAATGCATATAAAATTAACATTGATACTTTTGAGAAACTAATAGTATGAGCATATCTTTATATACATGCATCAGAAATAGGGAAATACAAAATCATTTGTTTTTGTCTCACTCAAAGTTTTCCTTGATTCTGACTGTGTGACTTAGAAAATTCTCTCAGAACTTGTAGTTCTTGTATAGATGAAAAAAACGCAAATGAGTGATCTTCAGTCGGTATTTCTTCATGCGTCACTTTAATAGTATCAAAATTTAGAATGTGCAGAACTATAGGTACTATTTTTAGTAGGAACATCCAAGATGGTTTCGGTCCAGAATCGAAAAAAGTGACTTTACAGATCTATGCTTTATCACAACCACAAAAAAAAGGATCGATTTAGCAAATTTTAAGTCCCAGCTCCAGTTTCGTAAAAATCAAAATTTGATTCCAACGAGATCGGGACCACTTTGCAGATCTCTATATCGAAGAAAAAGTTAGTAGTGATTTATGACAATGTTTTTCATCATGAATCATTCCAGTTAAATACATATGTTCTAGTCGTAATATGTAACTGTTCTTGTAAATTGGATACTTTTTCTCATTGAATCTTGTTTGAATATTGTGAAATAAGAACATAAAACACAAAAGAATGTCGCTTGGCTGAAGTTACTCGATGCTGCTTGTAGTAATGATTACCAGTAATTGCTACTTCCATTTTTTTCCTTATAATGATACCCTTTAATACAAGTTGTGGTAGCAATTTTCATGGTCAAAAGTACCAAGCAATGAAACAGGTAAACCACAGTCATATATGAACTGATAAACAGATACTGTTTTAATAGATTTAAATTTATTTCGACGTATTCTTAAAATATCTCCACAGATCGAATATACTAATTCTCATGACTTGAATATAGTTGAGTAACAAGAAAAACTGGAATGAAAATGTTATGTTTCAATGTAAAATGATTTCTGAATCATCAGAATTAAAGTTTATTTTTATATGACACTGGTATATAAACACGATTTGGTACTATACATACAAACAAGATACATCTTTTATCTCAAAATAGATATTGTTTGTATTAATTAAAAGAAAGATAAATGCAAAAAAAATCATTTAATAATCTTTTGAGATAAATCAAATATTTACTTTTGCCAACAAGATGAACCTCATAGACCAAAATCACATTGAGATGGTAATATATTCAGTAATCTCAAAAGAATTTCATTTGAAAGAACTTAGATAGAATTTATTTCACACTGTATAATATAAGTAAAGCAGAATTTAGAACATTAAAAATTGTACCAAACTTGTTTTTATTGGATCTGCTTGTTTATGTTATTTGGCTGGCAGTACAATCACAATACGAGTGTGAGTGTGTCCTACATCTACACCCTCGATTGAACTAAATAAAACTGGAAAGAACATTCCTTGAATTAATTATGTTATGAGTCCGAATTAGAAATGTCCATGGCGTTCGCGGTAGATTTTTCTCGAGAATGATGGGAAAATGCATGAATTTGGACAGAATTTCATTGTCCTCAAATGCAATACTTTGAATCTCATCAATAAATAACAATAGTTCTAGTTCAAAACAATCTCAGTTATATGAAATCAAAACATTTTTCTAACAACCATTGTGACAGTGAGATTTTTTTTTCGAAGAAAGGAAAGAGTGACAAAACAATAAGAGTATGAATACATCTAAAACTAAAATGTTCAATGTTTAAATAAAATGTAGAGGGCAGTAGATAACAGAATGAAAAAAAAAGGAATTTTTTTCTTTTCATTGGTACATGATGAATAAATGAACAAGTATAATATTAATTTAATTCATCATTTTTATCAAATTCTTGTTTGTTCATTTTCATTTACTATTATTTTTAGAATGTAAAAGAGTATTAAGTTGTTGCCTTTTTTTTTTTATTGAAATAAAAACATTCAATGTCAAATAAATATAGATCTAAAATTGAAAGAAAAAGAAAAAGCAAACACTCAATCAAATAAAATTTTTCTACACTTAACAAAAAAAGGTTTCTTTGTTTTTTTCATATACACATCGATAACGACAAATGTTTTCTTAATTGATCATTCTAGATATTGAATTCATTTACTATTCTAAGGTAAACATTTTCTTTTATTCAGTATAGTTTACAAATGAAGACGAACAAAAAAAAAAGAGATTGATAACAGGTGATCATAAATGATCTTTCATAGAAGGAATTAATTAAATAAATAAATGTCTATTCTCTATTCGTAACATAATTCGATCAGTATAAATTCAATTAATTATACTCAGAAATTTTTCTAAAGAAATATCTGAGTCAACTTTAATTTTCATTGATATAGACGAGAAACTTGTTATGTAAATGCTCGAATATTATAAATGATAAACTATATTAAATTAACTTTGCATTATCCTATATACTATTATATGAATTATGTAATAATAAACTTTAGATTAAAATTCATAGTGTTGAAAAGATAGATGTTCTGTTTTGTAAAAATTGTCATAACTTGAAAATTCAACTGACATGTCCTTGAAAAATCAACGAATGTAAAAAAAACATGATTTTAAAGTAAAAAAAAAACAAATAATATTTTTTTGTTTTGTCTTAAATAGACTAAATATTTTTTTGACATATAAATATAACATATTGAATTATGTTTACTTGTTTTCTTTATTATTTAAATGGTCTCTTAACATAACATATCTAATGTTCATTTCAATTTTTATACAATTACAAACTGTAAGTTATATATGCATATGCGTTAGAGAGCTCTGGGTCCGGGTCTGAAAATTTAGCTTTTACCGGGCCCGGGTCCGGGTCCGGGTCTAAACCTAAGAGGAAAGTCAGACCCGGTCTGCATTAAGTTATGAATGGAAATATATAACAATAACAATTGAAGTTAACAAAATTGAAAAAGAAACAGTCAGAAATAATTTTACACTCATTTGACCTTTAAAGTCTCCAATGAAGAGCTAAAATTGTGTTCCCTTTTCTGTTCATGTACACATAGGGTGTCAAATATTGGTGAAAAGAGGATCGGGTCTAGACCCGGCCG